CTCAAAGAAACAGACCTCCTGTGATTCTGAACCATGTGGCCATAACCGCCTATTCTGCATCACATGATTATGATTTGTACCATGGAGGGAGCAGGGTGGAGGAGGTAGGGATAAGAGAAAGAAAACTCTTTGTGATTCCAGTAACATGTCGTGTCCATGCTGGACGTCTCCTGCCAAGTGCTTTGGAATTTTAGCTTTATATCTCTCCAGGGACAACTGAGGCTTTTTAAGTCTGATGTTGTGAAAGACGGTTTCCTGGTGACCATAGGCCTTCCATGTGACCGCTCAGTAGAACACGTAGGGTACCATGGCTGGGGGTAACCAACAAGACAAGGGGCACAAGGAGGAAGAGACAAAGCTAGATGTTGACTTATGCCCAGAACCACCCCATGAGCTGGGGCTTATGGGAGACAGAGGTAGGGACATGGAAGAGGAACCTCTCTGAGGGCTTAAGCTGGGGAGGACACTCAACCCATCACTTATTTCAACATGTGCATTCACACAGGTGGGAGCAGCACAAGGAAAGCCAGGCTCAGGGCATCTTCACAAAGGAAGCCTCGGCGTAGATGTGAGCAAAGACAAAGTGTCTCTGAACCTCTGCCTGATTTTAGTGATTAAACTGAGCCTGTTCCCTGACAGAGGAGGTGCCGCTTCTAAGAAAGAGTGAGGAGGGGGCGGGAAAGGAGTTGCTGTTGTTGGGCCTGGGAGATAAAAAAAAAAGGCAGAGAGATCCTGTCTGGGGAGAGGCTAGCCCTCATCCAGCATAGTGCTTTAGACCCGTCCTAAAAGCAGAGCTAGAACTGAGGCTTTCAGACTGCCAGAAGCAAATGACAGGGATGTGCAAGAAGAGGTCATTCCGCGCTGTCCCTCTCCCTCCCGTATAAAATGCCAAGATATCCCTCCCTCCTGTCTTGGGAAATGCGAGGGAAAACACAGGGAGGCTCTGAGCTCTGTGGATCAAAGGCAAGGCACAGGCACGGGGCACAGTGGTGCATGAAGATCTAGCTCCCTCTGGTTTACAGCACATCCTCCCTGGCTTTCCTGAGAAGCAGCGCCTGCTGCCTATGTGACTGGTAGATGGACATCAGATGGTAGGAGTACGTGACCAAGAAAACAGTAGAAGGAATACAAAGGGCAGCCCATGAGGGACATGTGTGCTGATCAGAGAGGAATTTAAAGAGCCTAGGGAAGGATAAAGTTATCAGATCTTGGTCCAGATGTTTTAGAAGGGATAGTTTTAAATACAAATCAAGTAGCCATATCTCTATCTAGAACTTGGCAAGGGCGATAAAACTGCAGAAGCCTCAGCGTGCTCTGCTGGGACCCTTGGGTTATGGCAGCATCAGTGTCCCTAGGCAAATGCCCAGGACTCTTCCCCATTCAGAGCCCAGGCCAATCAGGGACAGCATGGTAGGAGACCCAGTCAGAGAGGCATTCCAAAACGCAACATTCTTAGAGCCCCTGGAGAAGGCTGTGCAAGGCAGCCACTGGCCCACTTCTTTGAATTGGGGAAAGGAAGAAAGACTTAGAAGACAGTCTCATCCCAGGGGCAGGAGAACAGGAGGCCCCCGATGCAGTGTGGGAAGGGAGCTGCAGCTCGCAGGGACACAACTGTCCTCATGGAGACCCTCCCACTCAGCCCAGGTGAGCTGGCTGCCACCCACAGCCCGTCTGAAATGTACTCAGACTTTCTAGTAACCATTTACTCACTCACCCAGCGGGTGTCATAATTCATGCCAAGTGAGTGAGCAGACATGGATTTCACGAATTGAAAGACAAAACAAAGCACCAGCTCTTTTAATTTTTATACATGCTCACAAAAAAAATCCACTTACTTCTAAGCATAAGAGATAGGGCTTACCTAAAACTTTCAGGGGATAAAATGACATCTATGCAAAGCCATGATAGGCATGAGCCTGAGGAGATCCCTCACAGATTTTAAAGCAGAAGTGAAGGTGGCCAGCTTTAGAATCAAGAGACTGGATTTCACTGAAACAAGCATCATCACTTAGCGCTTGTTCTGTGAAGGCCCTGAGCCAGCAGGCACCTTGAGCTGGGGCGGGGTGCAAGAGGGGTGTTGGCTGATGGGCACAAGAAGGTGAGAAGTCATCTCCTGCCCTTAGAGGCCTGGGCAGGGAGAAAGTAAGGCATGACTCATATCCTTAAAACGCAGCGCAGCATCATTTCAAAGCACAAAATGCCACAGGTGTTGAACAAGGTCACATCTGGGGCAGAGAAATCAGGAAAGCTTCGTTCTTGGTAGGTCTGGAAGGTGGGGGAATGACTGACAAAGTCTTGTGTGTCTATTTATTTTACGACATTGTTTCAAGGTCAAATGACAAGCCTAAGATTCTATCTCATCTGCCAAGTTGGGATTGATGTCTCCTTCCCACTTCCAGTTCCTTGGAAAAGCAGGTCTCAGTAAAAAGCCATGTACTATTATTACCCTCAGGCAGAATGCCAAAAACAGAGCTCTAAGATCTCCCACCCCCAGATCTGAGCACAGCCCAAGCATGCACAGCAGACGGGCTTTAGCCGAGTGCCGTCCCAGCCAGTCCCCAGAGCTCTGGTGGGAATGTGTTTAATTGGATGGCACCAGCTTTGAGTGGGCCCAGAGAAGATCAGTCATATGGCAATTGTCAGGCCAGCTCTCTGCAGAGCCCTGCACCTGGCAGCAACAGGGCCGAGCCAAGGGGTATCTGAAGGTGCAACAAAATTAGACTAGAGATGGAGGTGACCTCTCAAAGTCCTAATTTTCTTTCAAAGCCCAGCCCTAGTCTGACCTCCTTCCAAGCCTTCTCATTGCCACCCACACCTGGATTGATGGAGGCTTTCGCGTCGCTCCACCAGACTCCCTGTGTTCCAGTTGTTACGAATCTGCTGGTTTCCCACACGAGCCCTGAAGCCTCTCTGTGCAGGAGCCCAGCACAGCACGTTCCACACAGTGAGTGACCAATAAATGTTGCTTAAACATAACAACCTCTCCCATCTCTCTTCATCAGGTGACCAGAAGACCTTTCTGAAATCCTGTGACAGACTGCTTTAAAGTTCCAGGTAAGATATTTTGGAACTGAGCAGTAGCCTCCACCAAGGCCTCAGGGACAGGTTTCCTGAGGGGCTGTGAGAACTGGGGGGGCTCTCAGTCCAGCACCACAGGGAAGATTTGAGGGCCCTGCTCTCAGTCAGCGCCAAGACATTTCAGGAGTCCAGAGGTGATTTTATTTAGTTCCTACCATTGCAGCCCAACTCGGCTTCTTCACCCAGTGTTGTACCCCCTTCCTCCATCGTCACCTGCCCTCACCCTCAAACCCAGCAAAATGGCCTGAGGGACTTGAAGTGTTGAGAAAAGTGCCCCGAAAGACCTGGCCATTTATCCTGGGACGTATTCAAAAGGAGAACATAAAAAGCACACACAATACATACCGACGACTGTGTTTGGAAAGATTCTGTGATAGAAATCTAAAACTCAGAGCTGAAAGAAAATCTCACCTGTAACCACAAAGAGATTCAGTCTGATTCAGTGGCTTGGAAACTAGTATCTGAAAACACCCCAGCCGCTGAGCCAGGAAACTTCTACCCTCCCACAGGCTGTGGGGCATACAGTTGTCTCGCTCAGACCCACTCTAGGTGTGGAAGGTATAAAACTACCAGGAAAGGGTATTCCCCTCATACCCTCTCGGGCAACCTGAATATTTATTTCCAGCCAGCGAACAGGGTTTGACCATACTGACACAAAACAAAGGAGCCTTCGTGAACCTCCCAAACGTGTCTGTGGGTGACTCTGCTGTCACCTGCCGAACTACCTTAACCAACCTTAGCTTTCATCTAGGCAGTCTTTGATCACCCTCCCTCACTTGCACCCACAATTGTTTCTTCCTTTACAAAATAAATGCCTTTAGAATGGTTTTAAGGAATGACCAGCCAGAGCAAGTCTGGATTCTAGCCAAGAACCAACCCAAGGTACAGGCACATGATCCATCGCCTACTCAGTCTGAGCCTGTTTCCTCATCCGTGGACCAGAGCAAGAATTCCCACCTCAGAGTTATGGTAAAGACTAACGCGTAGCATCTATAAAGTGCATGGCCCACGGCAGACATTCCATTGATATCGCTGAATGGGCCCATCACATGCCCATTTTTCTTCCCTAGGCCAGCCACCCTATACAAATTCCCTAGCCCCAAGGTTTTCCCTTAAAAACAGACTCCTTCCTCTCCCAAATGTAATAACCTAGAAGCTCTCCTCGGAAATCTTAAAAAGCTCACTGCCCTGCAGGTAACCTTTGGGGGGAGTGGCAGAGCAACATTGCAGGCCAGAAGGAGCAGTGCATTAAGAACCCAAAGCACGCACTTACTTTGGTCACTTTTTTTCATTCTTTATGTATTTTGAATCCACCGTACAGGACAATTTCTAAGCTAGATTCCAGCAATGGTGACCCTGAGATAGCCTCTCTTTGGGGAAAGTTCTTCTCAGCTCTAAATAGTTTGAACACTAACTTGAGGTTGGAATTGGTTGGTCAACCATCGACCTGAAGAAGAAAGCAGCACTTGACGGAACTATTCCTCCACCAGACCACTCTTCCCTATGAGCCACCCCTCATAGCCATGTTCCCACTGCCCAAGGCATGGCTGGGAAGGGAAGTTCTGTCTGAATCCTGAGTGTGTAAATTACTTCCTGCCATGAACGGGAGAGGCCACAGCCACCAAGATGACTAATTAATAGCATCAGCTCATGTTTGTTGAATCCTTACTGTGCCCCAGGAACTATGAATACCCTATACACATCCTCTCATCATGCCGGATCTTCACCACAATTCTATGAGGTCAGGACTATTGTTGCCCCATTTTACAGATGAAAAACTGAGGCTTATTGGCATTAGGGGACTTTCCCAAGGTCACACAGCTCTTATAAGTGGCACTTGGATGCAGAACAAAGTCTGCCTCCAGGCTCAGCAAAAGCCACTAAGCTCTGAAGAGCCAGAAGAAATTCAGTACTAAACTCACCTGATAGGACAGGCCATCCTTCCGGGGGTTGAGGCCAATCTCCTCCATGGATGGGGTGCTCATCATCACCTCAGTCATCTCGGCCGATCTCAGATAGTCAGGGCTGCCAAGAAACCCAGACCCAAAATCAACAAACATACGCACTTTCACATTCCTACTCTTGGTGCGCTCTGCTGTTAGATCAGGGGACTGTCTGGAGGCAGGATGAGAGGTGTGCAAAACAGAACTTACAGAAAAACAAGCTCACACCCCAAGGAAGCACCTTATAAGCCCAGAGCACCGGAGCCCTCCACCTCGATCAACAAAGGCCATTGTCTGAAAAACCTCTCTGGCAAACCTCCACTTCCCTTCTTTCCTGGACTAGTCTAGTCCCCACCGGCACAGAGTGACTCTGGATTTTCTTTTAAGTGACAGAACCAGAAAAAAAAAAAACAAAAAGAAACACAGTAGGTAGCTAAGTCCATCTGTCTATATTAAAACTGATTCAATCCTTCTCTAAGGGAACTGCATATTATTATTACATAATAATAACAGGTCAACCTCAGTCTAACAATGTCGCCTTCCCAAATTTCTCTGTCACTCTAGAGTGCCTTTTTGCAAAACGTCCCACTTTAAGCCCCAAGGGGTCAGCTTTCTGCAAGTTTCACATCTGCCATCCAACCCCCTTCTCTAGCCCCAGCCACAGCAGCTGCAAGCTCACAGCTTGAAAAACATCCCCTGGATTAAAAGCCTTAAGGATGCCCAGACTCTGATTGCAAAGGAAATTTCCAGAGGGGCCAAGCTGGCCCACCGATGGCTGACATGTGAAAGTACTTTGTACTCCGAAAGCAGGATACAAATGTTCCATTATCCTCACACAAGCCATGGGCACATACAGACTCTGGAAAGCAAAATGCCAAATGGTACATACCGAAATCAATGTATTCACGACACAAATAACCAATGTTTTCATCATCATGCTTTCACACATGGATTAAAAAGATAAAAAAGTGGGGCGGGTTTTAGAGAGACTATGTCCAAGGAAATAGGGGTACTAAATTCTTCTTCTTTTTATGGTTACTATAGAATAGAAATGGCATTGGATGTGAAAACAAGCAATAGGTTCTGGTCCAAGCTCTGCCAATCAAGAGCTGTGCGATCTTAAACAAGTCATATAACTTCTCTGAGCCACAGTGCCCTGTCTGTTACCATAATGCTAATAATAAATATCTCACAGATATGCTAAAAGGCAAATCTCGAGGGAGGGGGGAGTGCTGCGAACTATGTGCTAATCGACTATAAAATAACCCCAAACCTTCGGGATAATAACCCCGATTGAGGCTCTAACAACCTCTTTGGCAAGTTTTGAGTGGCCAAGTGCACAAAGCCTCTAATAGCTTTCAGTCTCATCCATGTGGCACCTAGCTGCTCACACACCACGGAGATGGGAGGGAAGGGGCACCCAGGAGAGGAGTACGAAAGCCTCAGGGGTATAAGAATGTTTACTTTGTTTTGATAGTTCAGTTTTCTCTCTAAACAGAGCCAGGCCAGGACGAGGGAGGGGTGACTTAAGCGAAGATGCTGGGTGTCCAGGCAAGTTTCCGGTGAGGAGCTGGGACTCCAAAGGCAGTTTCTTCCCGAGTCAAGGAAAGGCTGCCGTCGACCTCGCAAAGAATTTTGCCAGAGGAGCGCACACAGGGCTCTCATCAGGCTCTTTGCCTGGGGTAGGGGTGCTCGCTCCCGGCTCCGGACTGTGGCGCGGGCCCGAAAAGTTGATGCGAGAAGCATGAACTTTCCCGTGCCTGGGATAAGCAGGACCGCGCCGAGCTAGAGCCCACGGGGTCAGGATCTCCTCGCCCGCACCTGAGAGCGCGCTCCGGAGCCGCCAGCGCTCGCTCCCCGGCCGCTCCTCCTCTTCCCCAGAGCAGGAAGGAAGCAGCGGCCGGCACGCAAGTCCCAGCGGCCTGGGGCCTCGCTCTGCAATGAGCTGGGCGCCGTGGCGCATCCCTCCCAGCCCAGATTCTCGGTGGGTTGCGAACCTCGGTCGACCCCTGCACGGCCCAGGCTTCTTCCAGCCGGGGCAGAAGAGGGCAGCTCCTTCTCAGCCCAGGCCCCTGCAAAGGCGCGTCGGTTTTTAAGAGCTATGGAGAGGAAAGGGGTCGGGAGGGTGCAGCGTGTGCTTGTGCTGCTGCTTGTGGCTTCAGACAGGTTACGTGTGGGGAGAGCGATCCCCGCCCCCCAACCCCACCACCCTTTGGAGCTCTGCAAACGCCGCCGCTGCACCAGCTCAGCCCCGCTGCCGCCGGCCTCGACGCCGAGACTTGCATACAAACAAAAAAAGGGGGGGAGGGGCCCGAGGAGAGCTGGAGCCCCCAGTGCCAGGGAGGGCTTGCGCCTCCTGCAGCCCTCCGCACAGAGGGTTTTATTAGCGGGATTCAGGCGCGACCCCTGTTTCTCCCCGCACCCAATCACCACATACACACCTTCCCAGCCGTTCCTTGAGTGAGGGCTTTGAGTTCACTTCCTTTGTCTGGATGCTCTCAGCACCACCGTCCCCCCACCCCCACCTTTGCAACCTTGACGTTGACTCCTGCACGGGCTTGGGTTAGTTCCCGGCCACCCTCGCACCGGAGCCGGCACGAGCAAGCGCGGGGTCCCCGCGGCCACGGCCGCGAGACTGATGCCCGCCGAGGGCGCAGGATACTCACCAGTGAATAGGGAAATATACAGACATGAAGTCCTAGGGGAGGCTGACCCACGCCCTTGTGATTTAAAAACGGTCACTGCGTCCCGAGTAAGGATGTCACGGGCGCGGCAGGTAGGGAGCAGGCGGCCGAGTGCGGGCACTGGGCGTTCGCCGGTCCGCCTTCCGGAGACAGACCCACTGCCAGCTGCGTTGGCAGAGCAGACGGAGCTCTTGGTTCTCCACCGAGCTCGCGGCCCCACAAAGAGCCCGGGAAGCCGTATTTATAGGGGCGGGGGGCGGGGCTCGGCCCAGGGAGGCCCCGCCCTCCCTCACCCACTCCTAGAATAACGTCACCAAAATCATGAATGGCTTCAGAGCTTCTGCGCGCGGCGGCTCGGTGGCGCGCTCAGCTCTGCTCCCGCAGGGCCGTGCTTTGCTGCAGCTTCTAGCTCGGCCCCCTCCCCGCAACTCACAGGCAGACACGCGCGTGGACACGCACGCGCGCGCACACACACACACACACTCACCGGGGCTAGAATTCAATGTCAGCGCCGCTTGGCGCTTGCAAACCCGCCTGCATCGGCGCCCCGCTCCCTGCACGGACCCCCGGAGGCTTGGGGGCGGAGGACAGTGGGCATCAGGAGGGCGCTGGACTGGCTCCAGACTTGACCGCTTGGCAGCCGCACTGAACCTAGGGAAGGCGCCATCCTTCGACCCTAGCCTCCTGGCACCAGTGCCCTCCTCTGCACCCACTCGCTGTCCTCAGCCCACACCTCCCGACCCCGCTTCAGCGTTCATCTCCCAAACAAGGCCTCTCCCTGGCATCCTCGCCCGCGGCATCTCGGTCGCTGCGCCTGAGGCGCGCGTCTCCTCTGTCCCCGGCAAGCTGCCTGGAAATGAGAGCACTGCTAAAAATGAGGCATTGGGAAGGTTGGGGCGGGGGGCGACGCGGAGCTGGGGGGAACCAAGAGCCCGCGGGGGTCGCGCTAGCTTTCGAGGGATTAGTCTGCAGCCCTGAGGTCCTTGGAGGGCTTTATTTGTCTGAGAAAAGAAGTGGTGTCGTCTTAGGTTTTTCCACTGGACACAAAGACACACGCCGGTGGAGCCGGACAGGGGTGCGGTGGGCGCCGCTCAAGCACACCCCACCAGCCTTGGCTCCCAAATCTGCTCCAACGAGGAGAAACGAAGACCTTCAGTCAAACCCCCTCCCACACTGAGCAGGAATTGCAACTCCG